ATCGGCAGCGGCAGGTCACAAGGGCAGGTTTCAAGACAATTTACAACAATATCGGCAGCGACAGATCACAAGACAATCCACAACACCCTCCACAGCGGGAGGTTTTAAGACAATCCACAACACCATCGACAGCGGCAGGTCAAAAGACAATCCACAACACTCTCCACAGGGGCAGGTCATAAGATAATTCACAACCCTCTCAACAGCGGCAGGTCACAAGAGAATCCACAAAACATTTAAAAGGGCAGATGTCAAAAACATTTACAGCACTTTGCACAGCGGCAGGTCACAAGTCAATCCACAACACTCTCCACAGCGGCAGGTCATAAGATAATTCACAACACTCTCAACAGCGGCAGGTCACAAGACAATCCACAACACATTCAAAAGGGCAGATTTCAACACCATTTACAGCACTTTGCACAGCGGCAGGTCACAAGACAATCCACAACACTCTCCACAGCGGCAGGTTTCAAGACAATCCACAACCCACTCAAAAGCGGCAGGTTTCAAGACAATTCACAGCACACTCCACAGCCGCATGTCATAAGACAATCCACAACACACTTCACAGCGGCAGGTTTCAAGACAATCCACAACACACTCAAAAGCGGCAGGTCACAAGACAATCCACAACGCACTTCACAGCGGCAGGTTTCAAGACAATTCACAGCACTCTCCACAGCGGCAGGTCACAAGACAATCCACAACAATATCGCCAGCGGCAGGTCACAAGACAATCCACAACACACTTCACAGCGGCAGTTTTAAGACAATCCACAACACACTCAAAATCGGCAGGTCACAAGACAATCCACAACACACTCGACAGAGGCAGGTCACTAGACAATCCACAACACACTTCGCAGCGGCAGGTTTTAAGACAATCCACAACACACTCAAAAGCGGCAGGTCACAAGACAATCCACAACACTCTCCACAGCGGCAGGGCACAAGACAATCAACAACACATTCCACAGCGGCAGGTCAAAAGACAATCCACAACACTCTCCACAGCGGCAGGGCACAAGACAATCAACAACACATTCCACAGCGGCAGATCACAAGACAATCCACAACACACTTCACAGCGGCAGGTCACAAGGCAATCCATAGCACTATCCACATCGGCATGGCACAAGACAATCCACAACACACTTCCCAGCGGCAGGTCACAAGACAATCCAAATCAGTCCCCACAGCGGCACGTCACAAGACAATCCACAACACACTTCACAGCGGCAGGTCACAAGGCAATCCACAGCACTATCCACATCGGCATGGCACAAGACAATCCACAACACACTTCACAGCGGCAGGTCACAAGACAATCCAAATCAGTCTCCACAGCGGCACGTCACAAGACAATCCACAACACCCTTACAGCGGCAGGTCACCAGACAATCCACAACACACTTCACAGCGGCAGGTCACACGACAATCTACAAAACTCTCCACAGCGGCAGGTCATAAGATAATTCACAACACTCTCAACAGCGGCAGGTCACGAGAAAATCCACAACACATTCAAAAGGGCAGATTTCAACACCATTTACAGCACTTTGCACAGCGGCAGGTCACAAGACAATCTACAAAACTCTCCACAGCGGCAGGGCACAAGACAAACCACAACACCCTCCACAGCGGCAGGTTTCAAGACAATCCACAACCCACTCAAAAGCGACAGGTTTCAAGACAATTCACAGCACTCTCCACAGCGGCAGGTCACAAGACAATCCTCAACACACTCCACAGCCGCATGTCATAAGACAATTCACAACACACTTCACAGCGGCAGGTTTCAAGACAATCCACAACACACTCAAAAGCGGCAAGTCACAAGACAATCCACAACACACTTCACAGTGGCAGGTTTCAAGACAATTTACAACAATATCGGCAGCGGCGGGTCACAAAACAATCCACAACCCACGTCACAGCGGCACCTCACAAGACAATCCACAATACATTTCACAGCGGCAAGTTTCAAGACAATCCACAATACTATCGCCAGCGGCAGGTCACAATACAATCCACAACACACTTCACAGCGGCAGGTCAAAAGACAATCCACAACACTATCCACAGCGGCAGGTTTCAAGACAATCCACAACACATTTCACAGCGGCAGGTTTCAAGACAATCCACAATACTATCGCCAACGGCAGGTCACAATACAATCAACAACACACTTCACATCGGAAGGTCACAAGACAATCCACAACACTCTCCACAGCGGCAGGTCACAAGACAATCCACAACACACTTCACAGCGGTAGGTCACAAGGCAATCCACAACACTATCCACAGCGGCAGGTCCCAAGACAATCCACAACACTTTCCGCAGCGGCAGGTTTCAAGACAATTCACAACACCATCGACAGCGGCAGGTCAAAAGACAATCCACAACACACTTCACAGCGGCAGGTCACAGCACAATCCATAACACACTTCACACTGGCAGGTTTCAAGACAATTCACAACAATATCGCAAGCGGCAGGTCACAAGACAATCCATAACACACTTCACACTGGCAGGATTCAAGACAATTCACAACAATATCGCAAGCGGCAGGTCACAAGACAATCCAAATCACTCTCCACAGCGACACATCACAAGACAATCAACAGCACCCTTACGGCGGCAAGTCACAAGACAATCCACAACACATTTCCCAGCGGCAGGGCACAAGACAATCCAAATCACTCTCCACAGCGGCCCGTCATAAGACAATCCACAACACCCTTACAGCGGCAGGGCACAAGACAATCCACAACACACTCCACAGCGCCAGGTCACAAGACAATCCAAATCCCTCCCCACAGCGGCACGTCATAAGACAATCAACAACACCCTTACAGCGGCAGGTCACAAGACAATCCACAACATACTTCACAGCGGCAGGTCACAAGACAATCCAAATTACTCTCCACAGCGACACATCACAAGACAATCAACAGCACCCTTACAGCGGCAAGTCACAAGACAATCCACAACACACTTCACAGTGGCAGGTTTCAAGACAATTTACAACAATATCGGCAGCGGCAGGTCACAAGACAATCCACAACCCACGTCACAGCGGCACCTCACAAGACAATCCACAACACACTCCCCAGCGGCAGGTCACAAAACAATCCACAACACCCTCCACAGCGGCAGGTCACAAGACAATTCACAACACAAACCATAGCGACAGGTCACAAGACAATTCATGACACAAGGTCGGAATCCAACGTGGGCACGAAACATAAGGAGTTACGCAGAGAGATAAAATACATATAGGATTATATAAAGAGAGATAAAATACTGATAGGATTATATAAAGAGAGATAAGCATTACGTTAAACTACTAAGTATCAAGGTTTTAATTTTTTTCTCTTTCTAACTTGTTTCAATACTAGATTTTAACATTTGGTGATCTAAAAATACGCTGAGCCAAGTTCTCACTACCAATAACCTTGTTTTGAGGCTTGTGATTTCTCTATTCACATCAAATAGTCTACATGTACCTTCGATTGGTAACACTAGTGAAAGAGTTGGTTTATATATATATATATATATATATATATATTATATGCAGTAACGCCAAACTCGTCCTCCGCATTATTTTCCAGTCTTTAGTTCGTATGCCGGCGAAAATTGTTTAATTTATGTGGTTTCATGTGCATTTCATGTGCATTTCATGTGCATTTCATGTGCTTAACCAAAACATGACTGACGACCAATTCTGTTGGTATATCCATTGAAAAACGGCAAAACACTGTGTCTTTAGTCTGACGTAATAGAATCGTTTATAATTGGATCCGGCTGATACACGATGTTTCTAGCAGCGTGTTTTTTGTCCAATATCATTCTGCCGAACGCGGAATGATGTATTGAAAAAAAACCTGGAAATAAAATACAGCGACCACAAAAGGCATTTTACCCTTTGATTAATTTAAGAATTGCATTGTCTGCAACGAATGATTAAATGTTGAAAAAAATTAAAACGTTGGTGACCTACATCCTTTCCTTAATCAAAAAGCAGACATTATGATTGGTGACATAAGTACAATGTAATACAAAAATCACCTTCACTTCTGGAGTCTTTTTCCTTTGTTTTAATTTTTATTGTCGTCTTTCTGTATTGAATTTCAAATTTCAATGACAAATAAAAAAACCCACATCCAATCTATATTTATTGTTTTTCAATGATAATTACAAAGGTAACATCGAACACACTGAAGAAAGTCTATAAACAAAACAACAAGATGAATTGTATGTATTTCTGCAGAAAAATAATCGAATAACTGTTAAACAGATTATAACCTTAGAGGCAAACATATTGAGTAACAGTTTACATATATGACGTTTGGAAATGTTTCAGAGATATATTTAAAATCATTATCCCCCAAGCATTCCGCACAAAATGGTTTTTACTGTCATCTGTTACATGATCTACTTTGTCTTTTTTATACAATGACAGCATCGGGATCAGTACTAAAATTCCAACCTGTGTTTATATGAATGTATAGAGCTGCCTATGGACACAGTAAATAAGGATACTGCTATATGCAATATCACAAGTTTATATTGCGATTTGTTATGCAATGTCTTTTATATCTTAACGAAACGGAAACGACAAGTTTTTTTTTTAAATTTATATAACTTTTATTCTTTTCAAGTCAAGATTAAAACAATATCCAAAATAACACTACAAGCAGTGTTCTGCCAATGAATGATAGACGTAAAAGTTGATATAACTCGTGACTACCATCGCACAAAGCTTGTCTAAGTCATGCACCATTGGGGCAAAACATGTCTTGCGGAATAAACGATAATCGCGATAACATACATTTGATAACATTTTAATGCAAACATGTACTGTAGACCAATTCAGTCTTGATTTCTTTTCCATTAAGGTTGGTTTAAGGCATTTTACGACACAAGCTATGACGAAAATGTAAAATATACGACACAAAAAAATGTCTTGTTACATTGTTATTTTTTTGGGGCCTTTTTTTCTATTAAATATACGACGTAGATTGTCTCATTCTGCCGACGTGGTATCATTTATTTATTTGGTATTAACAAGATTTTTTTTATTTCATCTGTTTAAGCTACTAGAATAAGGTGTTTTAGAACCAGGATGATTCATGCACCACCACACACCTAGACGTGCGTGGTACAACCTTATTCTAGATTATACTAAATAACATGTAAATGAAGTGCGACATTGTATAGTAGTCATCGAGTAGAAAAAGACCTAGAATCAAGAGGGGGAGACCAGGTTTATATTTGATCAGCGCGATTCGGTCTTTCGTAAAAGCAATGGGGCCGTGACCAGGATACCTTTAATTTTAATACAAAATGCAGGCCCTTGAATCCGTGACATTTTGCCAAGGTTCAGACAGTACATGTTACATTTAAGGTAGTATTTTCACATGGAGAGCATTGAGTGCAAGGGATAACAGTTTTATTAATTTTGAATAGTTTACGTACCCATAGTAGTAGACGTCTCTAGATGCGAAAAAAATATTCTTTTGTGAGCGGAAGAAGAGCAACTTCTTTCCTGTCCATACAAATAAATGGAAACGTCTCCACACGCAATGTAATGCTATCGAAACGTTTTTAGGTTTGTAAATGGTTTTCGTCCTTACGGCTACGATTATTCACACTGACACACCGATACATTCTGACAAAATACATAAAATATGTACAGGATTTTCAATCCTTTGACAGACAGCTCATAATGTAAATATAATTGATTGTTATTGTAGTTTTGAAATTCAAAGTTCTATTTTTTCTTTAAAATAATATTTTAGCGGTTGATTGATCCACGGGTCAAATAAGTATGTTAACATTGATGGTTTGCTATATCAGCAGGAACGATAAACGATGTCGGGTTGCATTGGATTTAAGGTGGCAATGCTAATCATAATTATCACTCACTGGATCCATAGGGTTCTATCATCAAATAAATGTTTTTCAGACGATAAAAGGATAACGTCACCAAAACGTTATGAATACATAAATATAAGTGTAATCATAGTTTTATAAATACATTTACAGAAAAAGGTTATAACACATGTAGCTCCACTTACAATGTTATAAGTTTAATCATATCACCATAAGTACAGTAACGATAGTGTAATCAAAACACGCAATAGACATTAATATCGATGTAACAGAACACTAGAAATACACAAAAAACATAAGTAGTTATTATGCGTACAATAAGTATAATAACATAAGTTTAATCATAACGCTAAATATCCATTTATATTTGTGTAATCAAAGTTCTATAGATACAATGATTTAAAAGAAATGACGTTTTTCAATACGTCGCTATCAACATAAGATCACTTATCAAAGTTCAATAACATAAATACTATCATATCACCGCGAAAATAATAAAAAAACAACATAAATACTATCATATCACCGCGAAAACAATAAAAAACAACATAAAATTATAGCACTGTCAATTCATTAGCATAATTTTAATCCGATCACTATTCGTACATGGATATAAATACTTTTAATGTATTTGTAGCACTATCAAAACATTTATAGAACTGTGATTGTAGCAGAACTAATTAATAATAAAAAAAAAAAAACGAAAAAATTTATTTCACTATTAATGCAATAGTTAAGCTTATCACAGTAAACTGCTTTGATTATGTATCCTGTAATAGATAGTAATGTCTGAAACCGGGTTAAGGATGCATACCATTGTCAATGTTGCCATGGATACACTGGACGTTGTAGCATTGATTCATTAAAATATCAGTACCAAGTCAACAAACTAAAATTAACATGGTTCTAAACACTGGACGTGAAGGGTAATCTTTATTTCACAAAAATAATTTTCGTGAAAACAGCGTCAGTGACATCTGTGATTTAATGAAAAATACAGCAACCGAATTGATATCATATTTAATTGTCTTTGTAACAATATATTTTTACAAATTTATAATGATTGATGAATATTTACAAGATAAAGTTCCCCACAATCGGAACAAGACACAGACTAGAGTGACATATCTTGCGTTGAATAAATAAAGCATATTATTTGGAGACAGATCCAGAGCCTATATTCATAAAACCGCTCTTGTGCTCAAGCTGACAATCTGTGCTCAAGCTGACAATCTGTGCTCAAGCCCAGTTTCACGTTAAAGTGATAAGTTCATAAAAAACACACACATTTGGTCAATTATCTGGAAGATTGATGGAGAAAGTAAAAGCCAAATACTCTCCCGTTAATTGAATAAGCGAATTCCAAGAAAGATTAATTGAGCACAAATTCCATGTTTGTGCATTGATACGATTTCATGAATATACGATTAGGTGGTCAACCATGATGTTAGTTTTTTCTACACATTTCGGCACCGACCACGACGTCAAAACTAACAAAGGTGATAGCTTTAAATAGAATATCCATTCTAACGGGAAATGTGGCCCTACGGTATGTACGTGTAAAACAATTTTTCACATATTATTTATTTATCTTTATTTTGTCAACTGCAATCGTACCTGCTATATATAAACAAACTAAAAAGATGATGATAATCTAATAAACTATACAGTAAGAAATAAATGTTTTCAAACCTCATGATAAAAGCATGATGAATATCGTCACTGGGATTTCATTCGCACTTCATTATTTATGTACATCGCCAATTGTATTTCATCCACATAGAAAATCCATTTATAACGGTATTATCAGTAATAATTTTCTATAAAAAGGTAAACAATGTGTTTGAGAAAATAAGTCGAACCAAATTGCTGTACCAGAGGCGTGAAACCTGGTGCAGTAGATATACAGCTGCACTAGACGCACGAATACTGGTTTGAACTAGATTCACGTATCCTAGTGTACTAGACACACGAATCTTGGTAAAATGAATTAGATTAAGGAATTTTGATTAATTTGAGGAAAGAATCTTGGTGTACTAGACTCACGAATCTGCATGTTCTGTTCTAGACCCACGACTCTTTGTGTACTAGACGCACGAATTTTGGTGTACCAGACGCACGAATATTGGTGTTCTAGACGCACGAATTTTGGTGTACCAGACGCACGAATATTGGTGTTCTAGACGCCTGACTCTTTGTGGACCAGGCGCACGAATATTGGTGTTCTAGACGCACGACTCTTTGTGTACCAGACGCACGAATATTGGTGTTCTAGACGCACGAGTCTTGGAGTTCTAGACACACGAATATTGATGTTCTAAATACATGAATCCTTTTGTACTAGACGCAAGGATATTGGTGTATTAGACTCACGAGTCACGATGTTCTGTTCTAGACGCACGAATATTTGTGTACTAGACGCACGAATCTTGGTATTCTAGACGCACGAATGTTTGTGTTCTAGTAGCACGAATATTGGTGTCCCAGGCGCACGAGTCTTGGAGTTCTAGACGCACGAATCTAGATGTTCTAAATGAATGAATCCTCGTGTACTAGATGCACGGATCTTGGTGTTTTAGACTCACGAGTCAAGATGTTCTGTTTTAGACGCAAGAATATTTGTGTACTAGACGCACGAATCTTGGTATGCTAGATTCACGAAATATTGTGTAATAGTCGCACGAACCGTGGTGTTCTAGACGCAGGAATCTTGATGTTCTAGACTCACGAATTTTGGTGTTCTAGACGCACGGATTATTGTGTACTAGACGCACGAATCTTGGATTTCAAGACGCACGAATCCTTGTGTACTTGACACAAGAGTCTTTGTGTACTAGACGCACGATATCTGCTTTACTAGATGCTGTTGTACAATATACACATATCCTCGGTCAGTTCACGCACGAAGCTTGGTGTAGTACACATAGGATACTCGGTGAGGGATTTACAACAAACTGATCATCACAAATACACGTTAAAACCATTCAGTATATCAAATAAAAATCAGTCAGTTCTTTCACAATGAAACAATGCGGCATTTCAAAATAATCTGACAATCTGCATTTCACAATTGATCGCAATAATTTCCTATCACCATTTCACATTTTAACCTCCTTGTAATTCACAATAATTTCCATTAGATAATATAGTAATATTACAGACAACTTTCTTACATTTAAATCCAAAATAAACTCTCTATTTCGGTACATTGGACCAAAGAAAAGTGGTATATTTATACCAAAACCATATCTTCACTTATAATGTCATTCATTTTACAACATTCGACTTGTTTCGGTAAGATTTTCCTCCGAATTGGACAGACCACCATTTACAGGAGTTCCGTTTACTGTTATTGTGATCTCATTGTTTGTATCTACTGTATATATGTCCCCATTTTTAACTTCCGGAGATGCTGGCAGGAGAGATGATGTTGTCTGTTGGGGCGAAATTGATGAATCCATGTCTCGAATTGTGTCATGGTGACGAGTCGAGGTTGGGGAACCTCGTTGGAAGAACATGGAACTTCCGGTGGAAATTGTTCTGTTTGATCGGAATGATATGGTACTGTGTCGCCGTAACATGTGTCGTTTCCACACCTTGGCAATCTCCGAACGCACCTGGATTAAAATAAGGATTTTGTTTTAAAGATGTAATTACCTCAATGCTTATTACACGTGAGAGGTGCTCATTTTGTATCAGTATTTGGCCGGAACGGTCTGGGCGTTTTGGCTTTAATTCCGTTTGAATTAATAATCGAGGTGATAATTTTGTAAGTGTCCCATAGAATTATTGTATATATAAATTGGAGTTATAACATATAGATAAAATAAAACGTGAATCCGTTTAAACATGAAATATACGTAGGCGATGAATTTTGAATATATTACGTATAGAACGTTTTGATCGTCTGATACAGGACTAATGAACAGTAACAAAACTGTGTGTATGTAAACAGATTGAGAAGAAACAATTATCATGCATCACATTGGTGAATAAAGACAAATCGGCTAATATACAGTGATTGAAACAAAGAATAAAATAAACGATACGCCAAAAACACGGACTGTTCCGCCAAATTCTAAAATCAAAGTATGGATATACCCCACGTGTTGAGGTTAGGGTTCATGTTTCTGGTTTGTAATGGACTCTGGGCGAAACAGAAACACAGATTGGGATCACGTGATCAGTAGGCTGCACGAATCTCCGCCAGATATTAAGTATTTCATTGGATACCTGGAATAGAGATGAATGGTCTTATCTAATCTACACCTATAGTCATCACAAACACATGACTTTTGTCAATGTTACGGTAATAAGGATAAAGATGCAAGGAGTAAATATATAACAGATAGGTTAACAGGTTCTCAGATAAAATGATGCTATATAAACAAGCAGCCAAGAATATTAAATCGTGGCAGCATGTGTCGTTGAATGAGAAGATATGCTATAACAGATCCAAGATGAACAAAGTCATATCATTTCTAAGAACGGATGTCAACATACCTCGTTATTCATAAAGCAGAAGAGAACAGCCACAATAAAGCCCTGTAACGATACAAACGAATTCATCTGTAGCAACACTTATTTTCAGACCAAAGATTAAAATTCAATAACCTTGCGAAAGACTAGCTACGTTTAAAAACTATTTTGGTAATGTTCTTTTATAACCTATATTTTTGTCCGTCCACTTCATGGCCACGTTTTAATGCACACTTCATTGATGTATATTCTGTTACTATGTACCCTTTTGCTAAATTAATATTGTATGTATATTTGCCAATGATAGTGCATTAACCGTGTCCTTTAGTAACACTTGTGACATGCAAGCGTTCATTAGTAATTTATGTTTTAGGATTATTAAGTTTTAAATCACCAAGATGATATAAAAATATTTGCTATTTATTATCTAGATATGACATGGTTACCTTTGACTGTGATAGTCTGTACATGTATACTTATCTCACACATATTTTGTGTTGTTGAATAATTGTAGTAGCTTTGTTGTTAAAAGTGTAGATTTTATCATGCTTGACCATATGTAATACGAGTCTTTGACACAATATGTCATCACGCTGAAATAAAGACTATTATTATAATAATTATTATTATAACATTCAGTTTACTTCGGATTGTATACTTCTCTCGGAATACGTTTCAATGGAAGGTCATTACGGTAAGCAGAGTTTGTGAAAATATAAAGTAAACATAGCACAAGTCATTATAATAATTGTAACATTCAGATGTCAGTTGCTTAAATTTTAATACAATTCAAAATATAAAAAATGCCACACCATGATGATCGCAGTACTACCAAGTTGCTACAACTAAATGTTTGAAGGTTTACAACAATAGAAAGCATTTAACATCACGAAACCAGAACGTTTCTTTATACACAACCAAGCATCAACATATATATTAAAGCCTTACAACAGATGTCCACAGAAATATGATCCGAATACAAGTACAGGTATCTTTCTTAAATCAACTGTTTACAGAAATATGATCCAAATAAATGTAAAGATATCTTTCTTACATTAAGTGTTTACGGAAATGATGTACATATAAAATATCAATATTTGGAAGAAATGCTCATGGACACAAGATCAAAACGTAAAGCATCTGCTTTTATCAACTTGTTAAATGTGTGTTAATCTCGTATGGTTCACGAGAGGTTTTTCATTAACTGCTATTAGAATGTACGTCACTGCTAACTAATTTCATTGACCAACAGTGGTACATGTATACCGTCTCATTGAAGGATACCCACTACCGCCTCTAGCGACTGATTCCTGCTCTAAGGAAGTGGCACTGGCTGTGGTGTTTCTATTTAAGGCGATGGTACAAGAGTAGTCGTCGGAAATACACAATGTCACGTTGTTTAGTGGCAAGGAATTAGACCAAACATAAGTCTATCTGTTTCTCTTCCACAACGTTATGTAGCTACAGTGGTGGATAATGAAGCATTAACAATCGATACACGTAACTTGAATTATAACATGATGTTGTATTTCTGGTACATTATGATATATTGCTTGAATTATAACATGATATTGTATTTCTCGTACATTATGATATATTGCTTGAATTATAACATGATATTGTATTTCTCGTACATTATGATATATTGCTTGAATTATAACATGATATTGTATTTCTCGTACATTATGATATATTACATATATTGTTACTTGATATTGTAATTCTAGTACATTATGATGGAGACTATACACTTAAATTAAAAAGTATTTAAAAAAAAAAAAAAAAAAAAAAAAAAACAACCAATCGATACAATTGCTACAAATCGTATTGAAAACAGTCTAAATATATCGCCAATCGACCCCAGAACACCAATGTTGTTTAACCAGCCAAAAGTGGGCTGATTATACGATTACTGGGAGTTGTGTTTATTGATATAGATTATAGCATCACAACGCTTTAAGTGTGTGTTTGTTTTATCCTACAACATTGTATGGTCTGAATACTGTTTCCATTTCATTGCAAAAAAACTTTTCCAAAACAAGTCATTTAAATGACATTCAAGCATATTAATTAATTTCTGAGATATTCAGGTCGTTTAAACATAGGTAATCATTAACTAAGGACTTTATGATACAGACCATCGGATATATAAATGCATTGTAAAGGTGAGGTTTGGTTCAGTTTGGTTTAGTATTGTTTAACGTCCTACATGTATCAACAGCTATGGTCATTTAAGGACGGTGTATTGGTGAGGACAACTACCCTGTATATGATTGTATTTATACATGACAGAAGTATTGTTAGATTTCTGTAAATGATAGAGGTATGGTTAGATGCCTATGGATTACGGAAGTGTGGTTATTTAATAAAAGAAAATATACATAACAGATTAAAGTTAGCTTCGAAAAAATAACAGAAATATGGTTATTCCGCAGTAGCTATGGGACCGTAGTTCAAGGTCCAATCGATTTTATTTCATTTTGAAATGTTATATATTTTATTTTGGAATTTGTGATGATCAGACCATAATGTAAATTTTCAAAAAAAAAAAACAATACATATTTTCAAATATTCTAAAATCGATACGACATAGAGCTACGGTTCCCACAGCTTATTCCTTTAACACGGGATCATTACCAAACATAACAATCGGTGTCATGTGTCCAGACCCATGTTACTGTTTTTAAATGGCAGGTACGTGATCATAATTGGTACATAATATCAGAATGCAATATATGCTATTTATAATCTATAAAATAGTTCTCAAACTTCTTAATGGATAAAACGGATTACCTGGAAGGAGCTACAAAATATTTCAATGTACAAAAGGACCACATAGGCGTAGTCGCCGATACAGTCTGGAACGGCAGCAAAACCAATGTAGTAGACCCCAAACAGCGGGATTAAAACCAGTGTCGACCTCGCCAACTTCCTGCAAAGAAATTGAGATCAACGGTTATAAGACTGTAAGTGGTATATTATTTTAAAGGACTTACACGCAGAGAAGACTTCGTTTGTTTTAATGTTCAAATGTATCTTTGGACAAAAGAATCCGCTTCCCTATTTATGAAACAGTCGCTATCTTGGATTATCGATGAAAACTATCACACTATAATAAAAAAAAGAACAGCGGGTCGATAAGCATCTATCATAATCTAGCAACCCACAGTACGGTTATATAAATGCCGGTTTTCAATTTTGTGCATAATGAAGTGGACTTACAGGTTATGTCGAGAAAAAGAGCTTCACATGGCCTCTTTTTTAACATAACGTGTTATAATAAATCAGCTTGTCATTGTGTATGCATTTTCATACTTCATATTGACAATGCCTTTAGCATGTCAAGTTCATTTATAACAGCATTGGATGTTATGAAATTACATATCATCTTAAGTTCATTTATTAACCAAAGTCATAAGGCCCCAGATTTCACATTTATGTATAGTCAAAATGACTGTTCTCGTTGTATTTTTCTATGATGTCTGTAGTTTCACATGCAAACTAACCACCTTTATTTGAGTTCGACATGCCACTCCTAAGCTAGGAAATAAGAAATGAATGACCTAATTATAATGTTTGATTTCGTACTATTCAGTGGCGTTACAAATGAGATCGATATATATTTATGTCGGTGATACAATTTGTGACGTCATCAACCTTACCATTTCATAGGTCAAATTATCTTTGTATATCTTTAATTTTAATGTAGGATCACGTTCAATATAACAAATCAAATATCTAAATTCCAATGTTTAATTTGGGGCTTGTCATGGAGTAGAAATTACCTTTAGATATTTTATGGAGCTTGTTGAACCTAAATATCCCTTCAAAACAGACAATTCATAAACATATGAATAATTCACAAACAAGATTGCCATTAACTTTAAAACTACATGTCATTGAATCATTTGGTCATTGGAATACAGTCACGAGAGAACTTGCATGCTTGCGTTTACACATACATTGTAATTATTCTGTTTGAAAGACAGTACCATTTCACGGTTAACTGTTTATGATTACAATAAAAATATGTGTCAATGAGTGTGAAGGATTTGTATATAGAACCAAACTAGTGCTAAAGGTCATCTGTATTAGTAATGTCTTGAGTGATGAGAGTAGTAAATATAAACTCTCCAATCAAAATCCGTATGTCCACCCTGGCAATGTTTGGTTGGGAAGAAATAAATACAAATGTTTTGTCAGTTTTATCAGACTTTCCTTGTGGAAGTTTTCGTTTGCATCCCTACCGTTGTTAAGGGAACAGTTATACGTACAAAGGATAAAGGGAGATAATCACAATGGAAAAGGGGCATCCCTTTTCTCAAAAGTAGGACGCACACCAGGTGTTTATCAATACTGTCAAAGGACTTTTAAAAGTGTGGCAATTTACACCAACCATTATGTGTTAATACAAATCACAAACAAGAATATGTACTATTCCATGACAAAAACTATGTGGTTTCATCAAACATAAATGTTTATACAATCTTCATTTTTTCGTTTCGCTACGATTTTGGTTAAACACTATACACACCTGTATCTGTTTGGATCCGCTCTGTTCGTTGCCGTAAGTTTCGTAAACAAGACTCGGATGATGTTTAAAAAGAGCAAAAAGTTGATCTGAAAATGGAAGTGAATGGTTTATATTAAATGTGAAAATATATTAATCACACACGCAAACCAATGAAATGATACAACAGAAGTTGTGACATGTACACAGACAGCTTGTTTCGTAAGATAAACTGAATACAATCTTGGTGAACCTATGTCCACCCTGCTAATTTGACATATAATTGTGTTGCTTGTAAATCGCCGTTGGTCTGTCTTTTTTCCGTTAGATCAAATTGATTATAACTGCTGATGTGAGTTAAGAGTATAAATACAAAGTAAAGGTTAAAATTTTGTCTGGAAGACAAGGGATTATATTAGTTAAAGGCTCATATCTAACTGGGTCAAAATGTCCCGGTATATGAACCTCATGTAAGGGTCGTTCATTCTGTTAAAATCTATGAAAAGTCTCATCATATCTGTGTAGTATATGTGTACGGACATAGAGGTGAGGAATAGGGCGTGTACATACAGCAATGACATAACTGCCACGAGGGGTTCCTGGTAAAAGTGGAAACTATTTTGTCTGTCAGTCATTTCTGTATTCCTTGGTATTTGTACATTTGATTGATGTATACGCAAGCGGTCAAGCTGTACTTCTGTTGTTATTCCTAATATTGTATCGTAGATGCACGCAAACGCAAATGTTGTAGGAATAAAGTTCAGTGTTGGTCCGCAGGACAAAAATGCCACTTTGTATGCAGTAGGTATGGGAGATAGCACGTATGGATGGAGTATACGTGAGCCGTAACCATTCGACGTTTCTGCAACTTGTAAGTGTCTGTAAATATAGCCGGCAGTACACCCGTCGATATTCTATTATAGATGAACAAGTGATACGGAAAAAAGCAACAAACTTGCTACGCCTTTAATTATTAGTGTTTCTGCTTTTCATCGTACATGTACGTAACAACTAAGATATCTAACACTACAGACAACGCTGACGGATCTTTAAGTTTCTAGGTAACGAATGGTGCGGTTGAGAAACTGCAGAGTGAAGACAAATGTGTATAGAACCTATTAGTGAATAGTGCAGCAAATATATCACACCAGCAAGACAGAGTACAGCAATAGCTATCAATTATAATCGCGCGTGCAGTAAAGAAGAGGAACGTGACATATTCAATAATACATCAATTCCCAATGAGATACACAGGAGACGTGACAAAAGTCAGTGGAACTTGACAAGGTAGCTCCGAGATTAAACACACTCAAACAAATATCTTTTTCTATATTAGGTTATTACACCCACATAATTCTTGACACCCCGTTACATAACACTGATCAGATTACTTTTGTTGTTGCCTAAGTCAATATAGAAAACAAGGGAATAAAGTAAGAGAACATCATCAAGGGAATGCAGCTTTGAAAAAAATAAGTAACCTCTTATTTTCAACTTTGAATAGATAATTGAAACGGCTGATTCCAAATGTAAATATAGCCTCCGAACACTGCAACATGTCTCGTCTCCAATTTGCTTGTTAGTTCACTTGTAACGTATGCTTAATACACATAAAGATCAACATGGGTAACAAGTATTCGACAATAAGCCAAACACAAACCCGGTGACAAAATCATTCACAAGACGTTTTACATAAACGTAAACATTCGTGTTCAAATCAAGTGTGGCAGATTTTGATTGTTATATGATTAGGGTCGCCTTCTAGCTTCGGGCAAGAGGGAATTTCCCTTAAGTGTCCGACTAGGAACCTAAGGATCGCGGGTTCGATCCCCGATGGAAGGACACTATTATCATTCCTGTTACATACTAATTCGGCTATACATCAGGACTGCATTAAAAATCATACAGTCTGACGTGAAGCTGCAGCTCTTCACACTGTCGGTTAGCTTTGCGTCATTGCCTCAAGAATGTTGTGGAGCGCAGTGACATTTATATCCGATTTTTTCTAATGTCTAACGTACAAATAACTATATCACGACTAGGTCATTACAAAGGTTGTCACATGTGCATTTGCGCGTGTTTGTTACTGCGAAATGCACGTCAGTCTATATTGGGTACAGATACGGAAAACCAATCTACTTGCGGCAACAAGGATATGGAAAAGACAAGGAATTCGGAAAAATAACGATTTTGCAGCAATGATTTGGGGCGACGAGCCATGTGTTTTGTAAGAAGTGTGTGCCACCTGCGGGAAGTCAAAACAGTGGTTAAAGACACAGACTGTTTGTATACGATATGTTGCTCGGTGGTTCAAAAAGAACATATATCAGAAACAAAGCTATTTTGCTTGAAAGAGTTCGCACGAGATTTGATGATTATCATCACATTTTTCTTTTTCATTTGGTCCTTTTGTAATAGTACCAGGGTGCAGAAACTACGGAAACCAAAATTATTCCTTATCATGAATATATAGGCAATTGACATAAAAAGTTAAGAAATAAAAAAAAAACAGGCGACGCAGGTAAAATGATTCCTTTCAAACAACTCAATAAAAATGAACGTACAGAAAGGTGAAATAATCTTAACCGAATTAAATTCTTTAGAGAATTACGTAATGCAGTTAGTTTTTAATCGATATTTCATTGCCTCATCTTCAAATTCCATGTGTTCGTTAAAAGGCTTACATCATTAGAACTACGTTAAGACAATACGATTTCAGGTATGAATTAGTTGATATATTGGAAGTTCAGGTAATTCAAATACGGTCAGTTGGTTGGAAACTACCAAAATGACCAATCGCACAATAAAACATGGTTAAATAATACTAATGATAATTCAAAGTTATTATATACCGCTTTATCATCAATATACTAATTTATACCACCTACCGGTAAAATGATAAATTCATTATCATTGGTTGTCAGTATGAGAAGAAGTCGATAACGACTTGAGAACAACATGAGAAGAACTGGAGAACGGTTTTCCCCATTTCCCAGCATTTTTTCAAAAAAGAACGTCTGCTCACGCAAGATGACGTCCGAAACCGTAAATAGTGTCCACACAAAAGTGATTCGCGTAAAAAAATAATCCGCCATACACATAGCGATACCAAGTTACGAAAATATACTGTGAGAATAAAAACACCATACTAGTTGCAAATGTGCATATGGAAAAACCAATGAAGATAGGATTGTTTTAAAAATATATTTTCTACGTAGTTTTAAGGATATACACATCTGAGGTTTCAATCACGTTCTCGTTTTGATCTGGTGTATCGGGTTTTTGTAATATTCAACAAATTATGATTAAGTTTATTAGCAAACACGCATCTGAAAAATATGTCAAAAAAACTAGATGCCTTTTGTTTGTAGAACTTTTTTTTACAAGAATTTAAAAAAAATACCAATTCGGCGGCTATTTTGAAAGTGTGTATTAATGTGTATTTCTTGCGCTTCAAAAAAAGGCCAATTTATTTTGACACTAGATTGATCACTTAAATTGTAATTGTGTCGCCATTTTTAATTGTAGCAGGTTCAATTTTTTTTTAATTGTAGCAGGTTCAATTTTGCTGTACAACTTTATATTGTTTGATATGATAAAAATAATATGCAACAAACTGGAAAATTACACTTTATTGATATTTATATTTAGTGTAACTGAAGCACTTTTGATTTTGGACAAAAAAAGAAGCACACGGACCTCCTATTTTTGAGGATGCTTTAGAAAGAGATACACATTTTTTTTAATTCATTTAATAAAAAATAATAATAATAGCAGAACTCTTTATATCAAGCGTTTAATCTGCAAAAAGTGTTTAAAACTTAGGGATATCTAAAATCGGCTTTCTGAGTTAGAAGAATAAGATTAAATAATTTTACTTCCATAATGTTAAAGAAAATAATATTTTTAACAATTCTACAAACATTCATACATTTCAGATAACATACTTGGGAAAAATTGTATGAATTTGTTCTGCAAATGGTCAAAATCCAAAATTCTTTGACCGATTAAAGCACAAAAACGAACACACGGACATATAGTTTTTTTGCATTCTATACTATGCCATTAACTTCTTTTTCCAAAAATCCATATAAGAAAAAAGTTTAATACAGGAATATTTTGACTTCACAGAGGTGTACATCCTTAAGGTTCATTGTACTCCTCCGCGCAAAACTTCTCTTTGTTTACGTATGTCACAGGCGATTGATGACCACTGAGCTTAAAAGTCATTTGGAAAACATGGTGTTTAGTTGACTTTTTTAAATGGAGAAATATATAAATAATTTTATAAATTCTCGAGTCCAACTGCAGTGGCCTCTCGATTTTATCCACGTGCTCTCGATGAGTAAATTGTTCTCACGACAAACCATCAAAATACAGTGTGATAATCTATAATTCTCACAACCAATTACGTAGGTTGTCTCAAAGCTGTTCACAAATTATTATCCGTTGTTGTAGGGCCTTTGCAACAAGCTAAAATCTTTCTCAGCTCCATAGGGAGCATACAGCCGTGCTACCATTTCGGCGCTCACAGCTAGCATTCAACAACTCTAGCACTGCCTAACTACGTTCTGCTTTACAGATAAGAAGACTGGAACAAGTGGAGTATGACTCGAACCCGCAACGTTACGCATAAACATGATCACAAACATACATAAACATGGTAAAATGGATGTTAAGTTATCGTCCAAATATATATATATATAGTAGATAATAAATAAATAAGTCCTTGCGAAGGAAAATATAGAATAAAAACATTTTTTTTCAGATCGTCCGCTAGGCCTTTCTGCCTTCTAGGGCTTCTTCAGGCGGATTGATGTTTATTTATCACCGTTGGTTACATGACGTCATCAATATTTGTATAGTCAACAATTTTAGTGACCTCATAAATAAACAAGCATAGTGACGTCACAAACAATACCAAGACAGAGAAAACATCTACATACAGTACATTGCAAAAATCATTGTGCATTCAGGCTGGGTTTGAGGACTTTTATAAACATATTTTCTTTAATTTCTCTTGCAACTACATCGTCACTATTCAGTTTGTAAATAGGCAACACATGAAAATCATCTTTAGAACATCGATGCATATGTTTGCTAACTTTTAAAATTCTTAGTTCATTGTCCGTCATTTGTTGTCTATGTACATTCATTCGTATTCTCAATTCACATCCGGTCTGTCCGATATAAAATTCACCACATTGTTTACATATTAAAGAGTAAATAACATTCTTAGAATTACAGTTAATGTCTGATCTAATTTCTATTTTGGAACCATTTGCAAAAACGTAGTCTTTACATTCAATGATAATCTTACATGTACCACACCTTGGTTTCTTACATTTTTTTTACACCAGTGACAACATTTGTGGTATTCATATCAAATTTGGATGTACATAGTAAACGTTTTAAGTTTTTAGGTTGTCTTTTACAGTTTATAATCTTCTTCTTATCAAAAATACACTTCATGCTCTCACTGTTTTTCATAAAATTTATAAAATGTTTAACGACAGGAAACATATTACAATTATTTGGATTGTAAGTAGTAACAAATGGTATGATATCAGCATCTTTGGTGTTAGCTCTTTCTAANTCTGTCTTGGTATTGTTTGTGACGTCACTATGCTTGTTTATTTATGACGTCACTAAAATTGTTGACTATACAAATATTGATGACGTCATGTAACCAACGGTGATAAATAAACATCAATCCGCCTGAAGAAGCCCTAGAAGGCAGAAAGGCCTAGCGGACGATCTGAAAAAAATGTTTTTATTCTATATATATATATATTTATATAACGGAGGTGACATCTGTTGGCTTGTGAAGCGCTACCATAACTGATATCAAAAGTTATAATGGTATCACGTTTGAATAAATCTACTGTTTGCCTACCGAAATAGAGACGACAATAGGACCTCGGATAATCCACAGATAGCCATGCTCGTCAGTGCTCCAGCACCTGCAATAAACACAAACAATGTTATATTATATATTTCTATAGATACACACTAAATTTATTTCGTCCCTTATTTAAAACGTTCCTTTTAAGGAAAGCATTAGCGAAATAAAGAAAAAAAATCTTAAAGACTTTTCCTTAACTTCATTAAAACTTCTCTGATCGAAGATGCCACTAAAAGCTAAGGATATTAAATAGAAGAAAGACCCAGCCCTAATGCTCTACTTCTGTAGTACGGTTGTCATGTACTTCTACTGCTACATGTATTGCTGTTGAAATAAACGGCATATCACCGAATCTGTGCTGTTTGTTATCTTTGAAACTGAAAAAAGCAAATAACGTTGATTTATTATTCTATCCTCGATGGTATCAGCCATGCCAGTTCGTTCTGGAACTGCTCTTCTAGTGTCTCCTGATTAACTACATGAAGACCTTACGAGCGAGATGTTTGACGGCTGTAAATGGATAATGGTATTAAAGGTAGAAAACATATATATCTCTTTAATCTTCTAACTTCCATGTAAGGAAATCAACGAATGTGAAGAGAAATATAACAAACGAAAAGGTTTGTTTTATTTCTCAAACTGAGGATGATTCCTTAGGCCTGAGGCTGTGTTTAACATCTGTTTGATAAACGACCATACCCCATATTATTTACATGCCAACTCATCAACACCGGAACATGTCTATTAGCCTCCACCATGTACAGTTAATATTTAAGGCGTCGCCTATGTTGAGCTTATGAAGTGATCTGTTGCTGCTACAGTGAAGTAGCACAGCATTCAGAACCTGTGTGATATATCGGCAATTATTGCCTTCCATCTTGATATCACGACTGATCTGGACACTTGGAGGTTCTCTGAGCTACTATACTAGATCAGCATGCGATTGAGACTACGTTGTAGTCACACGCCACACCGGACGGCGTAACTTCGCGCCATGTCAGCCCTCTCATACAACGTACTCCACCCGTCATAAACAAACAGGTTGAAGACCTCTTGATGATCACTGAGTTTGATTAAAATTTGTTTTGTTGGACAGCAATATTTAAATCCGTTCAAATTTGTTTAAACTAAACCTTGACAAAAGGAACTCGGTGGCGTCCCTTCTAAAGTTCTTAAAATAAATAAGCCTTCACTACATCTATAAAAGAGCTGAAACCAATGTCATGAAGGCCAAGACATTCGACATAGGTCTGGTTGGGTCGCAGTTGGATTTGGTCTTTTATTTGTAATCGCCTTTCTATGAAAATAAAACCAAACTGACATTCATTACTATTATCATGTAGCTTTCAGGTAGTAGCAATTTGTTGCGTCCGTCAGTTCCTGGTCAGACAACTGTAAAACATGGTTACGTGAATTGCTAACATCTATAATAGACAAAGGGATTGCGCGACTGTATGTGCTGACACCTATAATAGACCAAGGGATTGCTTAACTGACATCTATTATAGAATAGGATATGGCGCGATTGTAAGTACTGACATCTATAATAGACCAAGGGATTGCGCGACTGGGTTGGCTGACATCTATAATAGACCAAAGAATTGCGCAACTGTGTGGGCTGACATCTATAATAGACTAAGGGATTGCGCGACTTTGTTGGCTGACATCTATACTAGACAGAGGGATTGTGCGACTGTGTGGGCTGACATCTATAATAGACCAAGGGATTGCGCGACTGTGTGGGATGACATCTATAACAGACTAAATAATTGCGCAACTGTGTGAGCTGACATCTATACTAGACTAAAAGATTGCGCGACTGTATGTGCTGACATCTATAATAGACCAAGGGAATGCGCGACTGTATGTGCTGACATCTATAGTAGAACAAGGGATTGCGCGACTGTGTGAGCTGACATCTATACTAGACTTAAGGATTGTGCGACTGTGTGAGCTGACATATATACTAGACTAAAGGATTGCGTGACTGTATGTGCTGATATCTACTTGTAAATTAGCCAAAGGGATTGCGCGACTGTATGTGCTGACATCTATAATAGACTAAAGTATTGCTCGACTGCATGTGCTGATACAGTTGTGGGATCGCACAACGTTACACGATATGCGGTGTGCGCACGATGTGTGCACGGAGTGTGAACGATAAAAAATTGAACGATCATTGCCTGCGCACATTTCTGCGGACGATCGACGAACGTTGTGCGATAACAATTGTGGTTGATGTACACTGAGGAATGGCTCAACAATATATACGGGTTGTTGTTAAAACATATAAACTTGATTGTTAGGATGTTTCTATATTCTTACTAAATCTATAAGCTTAATTTTCTTGTTCTATTTTCCTAAATTTAGAAAAGGTGTTTTCGGTATTTTTTAAACGACCTAAATCGACACATGTGAAATTACAACACAGTCTCGGAAACACAGGTAAACATAGTCACTTTGTACCAGGACCGTAGTTACCCCCGCCTGGGGCACTTACGTAACTCGCTTAAGTTGTGAAAACCAGGCGAAGGGGAGCTATAGATCAGAACGAATGCAAATAACAAATACCCAACGTCCATGTTTTCATGACGGTCATAGGGTATCACATAGCAGCTCTATGTGTCAGGCACAGGCCAGGTAAAACCCCGGTCACTCATCAAATTGTTATTTATCTTTTCTGTTACTTAGCTAGGAGCCAAATCCAATCTTGACAGTCTTACGGTCACCGTATACTGCGTTACACGCATTGTAAAATTGTACGTAGTCTTAATTATTGTGATGAAAAATTACAGTAATATATACATAGTACATTATTGCTTGCGACTCTTCCGGTTTTTTTTCCATTCCATAATATTGATCAACAAATTGTACCAAATCACACAGTTGTGCGGAGAGAAGCGCACAACGGGGTGAACGATTGTTAAATCGCCCAGTTGTGCGCACTATGTGTGGACGATGTGCGGACGGTGTGTGAACGATGTATGAACGGTGTGAGCATGGTGTTTTTTGGTGCGTTGTGCGGTCACCCAACTGTATCTATAATAGACCAAGGGATTGCGCGAATGTATGGAATCGGCGGTATTATATTACATCGTCTGCGCATATAGATAATCAAAACTTATTGTCTTGTTGTCGTCGGAATATAATTCGCATAAAACCCGTCTCGAGGTCACCGCTACTAGTAAAACTTCGATCGTAATAATAATAATAAAAACCTAAAAAAAAAGCCTAACTTTTTGTGTATACTCGCGGATGTAGGTGAAAATCATCAAAGAAATTATGACATAACATGTTCGTATATAATAACTCATGGCACAGCAGGTGCCTTTCTGATTAATCCAAGGTTTTAACAGATGAGCACGGAACTATGGAACAATCTCTCTTTGGGCATTGGACAGTTAGCTGTTTTAAAAAGATTTATAAAAACAATTTGTATATCAAACATTTGTTAAAGCTTAATATTCCAAATGATCAGTGGATGTTAATTTTATTTCATTAGAATCTTCGACAACACTTCTGAAAAATCGACAATTTCATATGTTATATAGAGTTAAGTGATAAACTCTAAATACTTAAATTGATCTTTGCTAACGATGCCTTATTAAATATTCAAAATAAGACACTTTTGGTGGTGTGCTGCCGCAGTTGAAAGCGCACTCGCCTCTCATCAGGACGACCTGGATTCGACTCCCCGGTTGGACGTGAGAAGGCATTGGCGCACCTGCCTGACCACGTTTTCTCCGGGGACTTCAGTTTCTTCAAACTTTAAGACCCTCCGCGTGCTTTTTTCATGGTCAACAAGAATGAATAATATAAGCTAGAATTTCATTTTTGCATATTTGTTGTTAAATAAATCAAATGTATACATACAATGTGTAAGTACCAAGAAGATTTACCGAATGGTTAAACAACTTGTCCGGACTACCGAGGCTCTGTTGAATATCTATACTGTACCCAGACCAGCGAGACTCTAAGGTAGACTATAGTTTAAAAGGTGTACTTACAGGCTGTCTGAGTAGCGGAGTCGAATTATGACCCACCATAACACGAAAGGAAACGGGGCAACTGAAACACAAAGAAATACGACTAAACGACCAACCTAATCAAACAAATTCCGGTTTTCTTAACATATGTTTGTGTTTCGGAATTCCGTGCAAGACAAGTTACAGTACACAGAAGAAACATGATTAAAATATGAGTTGATTCTAATTGAGGAACAGCAACCCTAAAATCGACAAACATATCTGTGCACGCTAAAAGGTTACTATCAGGTTGGTCGTGTATGGGGAAATGCTGAGATCTTGAATTGACTGCGAAGAATCAACATGAATACCTGTTTGTAGACTTTGCATGCCGTCCTTCGAAATTGAAGTTTTTCGAGTAACCTCGGTGTAAATTACAAAAGGAATGGTAAAAGAAATTGGCAATTTAGTAGCATTAGGCCAATTGAACATTTCGAAGGTAATTCGAATAGAAAGAAAGCTATTTATGCACTGGCAGAAGCTAAATACTTATTTTCTTAACAAAATTCAAGGACAGAACATAAAGCATGCACTAGGATTGAAAGTGATTATCAAACAATTGCAAGCATTATCACAAAAAAATATCTAATTAAGGTCCCATTATGCTTACATGGTAGCGTGTTTGTAAGAGTATTTTTTGATATCTTTGAAAATATCAACTCACCCCATCCAAATACAATATAAAATCTGAAGAATTTCTTCAGGTTGGACATGGCGAAGAATATGAGGATATGTAGATAGAGTCCCTCTACGAGGATCCACATGTAGTTAGCTGTCGTCAAATAGTGGAAGATTGTGTAGACTACCTTGCAAGGCCATGTCTGAAACAGGGCAATCAGACGAGGTTGAATATCTGAAAGTTTTGTGGATTGTTATGAAGTGGAACATGTCGTATATCATGTACAAGTTGATATGTATGTAGTTGGTAACAACAATATGAAGGTACATGCATGCAACCGTGTGAGTGTTTGAGTTCACATACCTGGGAATGTAGTGTTAATCTTTATTTCATTTTTATATGAAATTTTAAAGCCATGTTAAAGCAGGCATATACCTTACAGTTATAATAACAACCTCTCGACTATACCGGTTCAACTTTGAGATCGTGACATTGCTTGGATGAGGGTTAGAGTTTCATGGTGTGGGTCGTCGCTCAAGCAAACGACACTTACGATTAAAAGCACTTTGTCGCAGTGTCCTTGTGCAAATGTTCCAAAGCGAGTAGATTACTATTTGCCTGGTTTAATCACTTTTGAGTTCAAGTGATGATTTCTTTACACTTAGGTATTCTCTTATTGTATTTTGTCTTACCGGGCCGATTGAGAAGAACTGGATCTCGTTGTCCTCTATAGCGGAGTATCCTTGTGGTATAAACTGCAAATCCTTTACCAGACATACGATCGCTTTCAGTATAAACGATACGAATAGGTTCACGTGTATGGTATTTCTGTCACAGTGCAGCTTCCTACGAGAAATATATATAAAAAAATATCCTCCTTTGTGTAAATCGTCAGATTGAAATCATTTGAAAATATAAAATATTTTATCCCAAACACTAACATTCGCGGTCATGCTCACGTAAAGTGAAGTATATAAATACCTCGTACACTATATAAAAAGCTACTTAAGATAGTTTTAATTAGCGAAGCGGATTGGTTTAATATGATATAACTAAAATATCTAGGTGTTAACATTTCCCCCATCAGCATTACCGTAAATAAGTAAATATATATATTCGAAAGAGCTAATACACAAGGAAATTTGACCGAAAAGACAACAACAACAAAAGAATTATTGATTTCAAAATCATTTTAGCTTGAAACGTTTGAAAGGTTAATAAAATCATAACATTTTTCATGCTATATAAATGTGCACGAAATAAATGCAAGTTGATCTGATACTATGTGTGAAACGTTCTGTTAGTACCGCTTTTGGAATTGGACTGTTATTTGTTCCATCTATTTTGGTTTTCGTCAGTTCAATGGCGATTATGTCCGATGACGTTTGTAGTGAATATAGTGTTAGCGGATGATGTCTAAAATGGTGAAAGAATCGTCACAAGATACAGAAATATTTATTTAAGTTTAGACACACAGTTGATATATTTCCAGTAGAAGGCATAAGTAGAGATATCGATCTTATGTCGATGTAACGATGTAGGTGCTTGGGTTTAGATGATATGGTATCGGTGCCATCTAAAAAACGTTAAGGTCATAGTACCATCGTTAGATGCTCTTTAAATCAGTGGTTTTTGTAAGCTTATGGTCCAGGCAACAATTAGTCGTCATTTCCATATTCATGATAAAGGAAACCATATAGAAAACTGCTTATGAAAATCAAACCTAGCGGGCTCATACAATAGATAAAACCATTTTAAATATTAGACGACACGCATTAGTTCTGCGACCAGTTGTACACATACGTAATGCTATTTACCAATTGCTATTACACAATGCTAACTGATCAGAGACATATCTGGATACGAAAGTGTTTGCGTTATGCCACTTGGAATTTTGAGACACAGACAAAGAATATTATCATCAAAGAGTCAACAGAATATGAAAAATTCTGTGAAAGTTATTTAAATAAAAAATGAATAAACCTTTGTTGTGATCCTAACCTTAGCTTTGCAGATGGTAGGGTTACAGTACATGCTTGAAACCTTTTCCCTGATACATATGCCAATCGATTATTTCGCATATCGGTATGTCATATTAAAATCGAAATATTGTGTCGTAAATATTTGCGTCTTAACAATGACATATCGTTTGTGGGCGGTACGTTCATTTGGTTAATGTCCGTTGCTTGCTTGGCTTTCCATATACGATTCTTAAATGACTGTAAGTGAGAATTATTAAAGCTTTTGATTTTCGTTTGTTATTGTTGATGTTTCGTTGATTAAACTTATGCGCAGCATTAATTTAAGAACCAAATATTGAACAGTTCATCACAAGCAGTAATGATGCAACAACGGGGACAAGTTTAAGGATACCTACCTGAACACCAACATGAGGAACACAGCTAACGTCAAGGAAGCCAGGGATATCGCATACCCGACCTCATACAACACCTTGATTGTGTAGGCATGGCTCTGAGGAAGATAACAATACATTTCATTGTTTTAAATCCCCGTGCGATTCGTTGTGATTTAAGAGTGACGTTAGATAGTGTGCAGGTCTTATACAAATGCCACTGTCTTGTTAGGTCTCTCACGTGATGATATCCACTACCGAATGTCAGTATCACCACTCTGGGATCGTTGTAGTGAGCCTGACAAATCCCACTCCGATGAATCAACATCACGGAATATTTAAACATAAAGAAACTCAAGTAAAATTACCTTACATTCATTGCCTCTTAAATTTCTGGTCCCATGTGAAAACAATTGGTAAGAATGGTAAACCTTTGTGAACCTTATCGGTTCTCATCCCTCTTGGTCAATCGGAAAGGTCATATAATGTATACCCCCAATTGTGTCATAAAAATACAAATTCCCGAAGGTAGCATAAAACAAAATATGGCTATTTTTTCGACTGTTGCGTATCTAGTTAACGGTATTTGGACTGTGCCGTTTTCATTAGTACGGCATAGGAGTGGGATAAGTTTTTTGAGATAAATCTATATTGGTCATTGCTATCTGATTGTCCACTTGGATCATGTCCATCGATATGACCTCATGTGAAATGCAGATTGACCAGAGCCCGCCTGACATGTTCATTTGTTCGGACGATGGTTATTGAGCCTTTTGCTTAGAAATAACCTTGGAGTGTCGACGAGATATACAAATCTGAGATGCTGGCCTGTGACCTGTCGATAACGTCTATAATTGTATTACAACAATTGCTAATAACGTCTGTCTGTTGGCAGTATCGTAGACCCATCGACCCCGGACTGTCTCTCCAATACTTCTCAATATTTTCAATACTAATCATCTGCATCACATGTTCAATCAGGCAATTAATTGAAGTTATTAACCAAATAATCAAATAATAGAAATAAGTCCTGGTTGAATCCCAGCACCATGAGGTCTTCCTTACACTGACGTGGCCTGTATATCGAGTTATTGATGTCAATTGAGGTAAGCAATATTGATTAAAGCAAGTTTGATGATAGTGCTGACTATAGATAGAATGCCTAAATTTAGTCAAAATATACTCGATTATAGTCTACAAGTATTCTTTAAAATATTGATATTAATTTTCCATTTTTCTGTCGAAATGTTTTTATTATCAAAGGTCTATTTTTGAAATGAATGCCTCTGAAAAAAGGGAAACCTTTATAAACTAATTTAAGTTACAATGTTCGACGCTGATGTACTTAAACATGTGTAATAATCACGTCGAAGCATGTGTAATAATCACGTCGAAGCATGTGTAATAATCACGTCGAAACATGTGTAATAATCACGTCGAAGCATGTGGAATAATCACGTCGAAGCATGTGGAATAATCACGTCGACGCATGTGTAATAATCACGTCGAAGCATGTGTAATAAGCACGTCGAAGCATGTGTAATAATCACGTCGAAGCATGTGTAATAATCACGTCAAAGCATAAGTAATAATCACGTCGACGCATGTGTAATAATCACGTCGAAGCATGTGTAATAATCACGTCGAAGCATGTGTAATAACTACGTCGAAGCATGTGTAAAAAACACGTCGAAGCATGTGTAATAATCACGTCGAAGCATGTGTAATAATCACGTCGAAGCATGAGTACTAATCACGTCGAAGCATGTGTTATAATCACGTCGAAGCATGAGTAATAATCACGTCGAAGCATGTGTTATAATCACGTCGAAGCATGAGTAATAATCACGTCGAAGCATGTGTTATAATCACCTCGAAGCATGAGTAATAATCACGTCGGAGCATGAGTAATAATCACCTCGAAGCATGTGTAATAATCACGTCGAAGCATGTGTAATAATCACGTCGAAGCATGAGTAATAATCACGTCGAAGCATGTGTAATAATCACGTTGACGCATGTGTAATAATTACGTCGAAGCATGTGTAATAATCGCTAATCAATGTAAAGCCTAAATATTTTGTGCCAATCTTGGGACAGTAATATTGCATTAAAAAAACGCTTATTTCATATTTCTTTTATATATGTAGAGTTAATCCCATAGAAAGTATAGTTGATCCGATTCGTAAGTTTAGTTAATCTAAAATGTTCGTATATTTAATCGGATATGATCCGATAACTGATATTGTTTATCTCGTTACTTAACCAGCAGCTATGTCCATCATTCTCGTTCATAATTTGTGTTCGGGGGAAGTTAATTTCATTTACAGATATTCACACAAGTCGTTGTATATGTGTCCAATGAGCTGTACACAATAATTCTGTCAAACCAATGGCCCCGTGGTTTGGTAAATACGGTGCTAGTTGTACAGTTGTATATCAGTTGTTACTGTTGATATCTAAGCTGATGACATATCATAACAGGTGTGTTGTAACTTCAAAATGTCTGTGATGTTATTGATGCTGTTTTCGGTTACGACTTTGGCCACGAAATCGTCAACAACTATATGACGTCAATTGACTGACGTAGGCTAAGAATATTTGTGAAATTCTGCTTCTGTTATAACCAACATTGAACAAACGTTGATTGTACGTTGGAGTTATAATTTTGTTTTCTAAAATCAATAAAATTCGAAATATCTCCTTGTTACAGAACGATCCATACCCTCGCTTTTTTAGTACATGTTTGTGAACCTTACGTGATGAAAAATACGACTTCTTTAGAAGAAGAACGACTGCAAGGAAGCCAGTACTTTGGTTAGTTCCCATGAGAGCGCTTCACATTGCGCTGTAGTTTTATCGATTAGACATTAAAGATGGTAAGGTATTGGTCTAAAGCCCTCATAAATTTGTTCAATAAAATATCAACTTCCATTAACGGAAATTGTACCGAGATATAAAGATTTATCTAGGTATAGTAGATGTAAAAACGATCTAGTAATTCTTAGTTCTTAATTCATTTTTGTTTTATGGTTTCGTGAAAACGCAAGTGATTTTAGGATCCATTCGTTTATTCATGTAACAGAGGTCATTATTTGTGCAATGTCTCCGCTAGGAGTCGAACCCGGGACCTCTGACCTACTAGTCTTCCGCTCTACCAAATGAGCTAAAGAGAAAGTATCCCTAGCCGAGTCGGTAGGAAGCGGGTAGTATTTTACCAGGGTGACATTCAAAAGGCCATTAAAAATATAGTACTATGCATACAAGTCTTAACTTGTCTGTACAGTTTGTATCATTCGTCTGGTCCGTTATGTTTCTAATATTAGTGCATCTAAACTTATTTTGCAACTGCAAACCCAAATGCTGAATTTAAAAAAACTTATAGCATCACAGTTACAAATCGAAACTCAAAAGTCTATACAAAAAGTAGTACAAAAAACACCTACTCCTGATCCAAGTAGATATAAAAACTAAGGGCGATAATCCTGACCATCATATACTACTGTTATGTGTATCAAAGTCTTACAATAAAGACAATACCATGATCAGTGTAGACATGACAACAGCAACAACTTTGTTTACACGGTTTACAGGAACAACGACAAATGTAATGTAAGAGATTACCTACTGAAGCGTTAAGTCGTAAGTTTGTAACGTAATTGAGGGTTTATAGGCACTGTGTCCATCGGCTTTATCGCTAAATATTATCGGAATCTGGTGGCATGAATTGTCATTTCTTAAACGTAGTACATCTGAAGAGTCGTAAATGAAGAAACATGTCTAGATGGTGCAGTTATTATTTAATGTTTGTTTGACTTTCTGCAGCACAAACTTCATTTTTAATTGGTGTTTCCTTATTTTGTATTTTTTAATGAATATTCAACATAATGTAACCCTTTGGAAAATAATGGACTGGGATTCTAAACAACTCTCCCTTTTTAACGAAGATATATTTTATACAATTGTGTAATATGTATGGATCTCAAATTGGGCAATGTATTATTACGCGGAAGAGGGATGGGTCAAATTAACGATTTGCATACATAATTGCATTGCACTACTTTGGAGTAAAATATTGTAGCATGAACTTAGGAACTCGCCACATTATCCTGTATCTGTTGTATATATCAACTAACATACACACGTAAGGTTGCATTGTACCCCATCAAAAATCGGACAGAAATTGGCCTTACGAAATGGTGAGATGCTCGAAATAAGACAATAACTGCATACTTTACACAATTTAATCCTATATATAGCGATACGCTTTATCCATTTTACAACAATTAGGAATTATTATAACTTTTATTCATCGCTTTTTTTTGGCACGAATGTAAGTGCGCAGGCGTCTTAATGTGAAAAGAAACCAGAGAACCCGGATACAACCCACGTGGTCGGGCAGGTGAAACCATACCTTTGTACGTCCGATTGAGGAATCGAAACCCAACCGCCTTGGTATAGGGAAAGTGTGCTATCCACTGCACCACCTGACCACCCAATCATATGTATGTATTTATTTATATATGTACATCAGTTATAAATATAGTCAATATATAAATTAAAAGATATTTCATTGTTACCAAATAGAAATGATCGGACATAATTGCAATATGAAATTAAAGAGCAGAGAAGACACCGGTACATAAACATAAATATAATGATGTACAATATTTGTGCTGCTTTTTTCCGCGAAAGGTAACCGTCTTAATATCTTATGTTACCATATAAATCAGTAAAAGTTTTATCACCAAATATTTTAAACCGACACAAAACACATTTATTTCGTTAGAAACAGAAACAGAAGACTGTCGTATGAACCATGACATAGCACAGGCGAGCGTATTCACACTACGGGAGTGAGCTACACCACGTCGTTAGGCCTCGACATAGGGACATAATATTATGCAAAACAGGAGGAAGAATGATGCAATTAAGACTGTCGTTACTGATGAGGTAAATGTTTAATAAAAAAAAATCTAAAACAATTATAGTGCGTCAACAGTGTTGTAATTAACCGTTTTTATACAGAACACCTCACCGCCATTTTTATGCAGATAAAGGCATTACGACGGCTGTGTTGTGATGTATTAATGTACAATACGTTTTTTCGATTACATGTCTTTTACAATTCTAATCACAGGATATGGATTTAAATAGTATCAGACAAATAATTCCATACTCAGGAGACATTATAATGCACCAATTTCGAGATAAATTTCCAAGATGTTGACATATTGGGATCGAATAAATGGCGGTTTGTGTGTAATTGGTTTTTAATTATCACTCTGTTTGTATCCTTTGTTGTATGCGATCTTTCAGTATGCAATATATATAGTTTATTATATAATTAATATTCTAGGCTTTATATAGTTTATTATATAATTAATATTCTAGGCTATACCAAGTTTCGATTTTGATCCGTGTTATGTAACATATATAATATAAAAATGGAATGTACTTAGTAACGTAATTTTGCTGCTGCCAATTAGACGCGGCATATTAATTTTGTTCAAATGAAAAAGAAAATTATACGTGGTACATGTATGTACCTAGTTTACATTTCATTTGTTTCTTGGAGTTATGTTTTTATCGATCACTCTAAGTAGATGTTTGAACACGTTAACTCATCTTACTACTCCTAATTTTTACTTCAGGACAAATGTTACTCAAAAATATAGTACCAGCGTTCAACTGTCAGGAACTGATATAGCAATCGACAATTTAGCAGCAGCACACCAGATATTTAATCTGCGAGTATAAGGGATGATAATCATTTGTTCGTGACGATATTTGTGTAATAATATAAACCCCTTTATCGATATAACGTCCTGTTGATATTTTCCTCTGTCAATTCTTACGTATATACTATGTATGAGTTTATCAGGCAAGCTGATGGACGAGTTGCAGTTCAGTACACGTTGATATCTATAACTCGTAGAAAGATAATAGATTTTATACGAGCGCCCGGGCGTCATTGGTATTTTTCTGTGATGCATGTAACTTTGCCTACAAACGATTTCACAATCCGCATAGAAACTACAATACGTGTAACTTTAAGTATTATCTACAATAAACCTGATGTTTATTTATGGATCGATAGTCATGGCCTTGAATAGGTTCAATGACGCCCCAATCATTGAAGGACGACCAGTGGGTGTAAATGATCCTTGAACGTTTCTAGGGTACGCCAAATCTACCAACTGATGATGTATGGGACATGATGCCTGGTAGTTAACATGACTATGCATAAGGCGTTTTAACAAGTATTTAACATGTATCATAGGAGTTTCCAAATACATTTTTAAATTCGTGATAGTAACAGAATTAACCGCTATTGCATTTTGACAATGAAATAGTTGAGTATATTGACATATTTTAGACGTTCTCTCACTCAGCACACGTACGTTATGCATCCATTTAGACACTCTAGTAGCTATGCGTAGACACGAGTTTGGATAGGAGTTTGTGGCGTTTTGATATTGAAGACCCCTCATCCTTTGTTGCATTTATACATCCTATATAATACCATCAAGATGTATCTATTTATCATAAGGTGGCATAATTTGATCACTGGCATTTGAAAAATAAAAAAGTCATTTTCAACAAGACATATATTTGTGTTATTAATCGGCAATACAGAATAATTCCTATGTGTAATAATTTTGTCTGCATGCTAAACACGAATGTATAAACAAGTATGCATGAATTTGTCAAGGATCACTGTCGTTAGCACTATGTACACGTCAAATACATAATAAATGACTCCAATACTACCTTTCAATATGGGTGCTTAGTAAGTAATGAGAGATTTGTGAGCTATAATTCGTCTCGTCTCACATTTAAAGTTAAAGATATGCTTCGGGGTGATATAGTCTTTAACAATGTGCTCTGGGCATAAATATGCAAAGCACGTAACCTCCATTACCCTCTTACCTTGCATAAACCTTTGAGTTAAAACATCAATATGTCAACATACCCTTGTGTAGGTGGACACAGGCACCCGTTTGGCCTCCTCCTTGGTGTAGTCTGTACACCCATCATAGTTAGTCAGTGTCTTGTTACGGGTGGGGTGCATCGCCCATGTCCCATCAATTGTGCAAAATCGCTGCGCTTTACCTACATTGAACAAAATGAGAAAGTATTAACATTTCTGATTAATTTGAACTTCCAATGACGAATAATAATTTTTAAGAAAAAGGATAAAAAGGTGGTCAAAAAACCCGTACATGTAGCTTGGATTATATCGAATTGGAAATGCATGTACGAAGGAATTATATACAGGGGAGCAATTACAAATACAAGGATCTGGAACGATAGTAGGCTTCTACTTCATTCCCCGAAGTCGTTGTACGGTTGGAATATTCAGAGAAAGTGTCTTTCTCTTGACCACACAACTCCAACAACCAAGGTGGAGTATACAATAGTCTGGGGTACATGTTGCGGTATCTGTGTTGTAGCATTCAAGTGAGGTGGCAATATAACTGATACCGTTGGAAACACGGCCCCACTACAAACAGAACATAATACATATCCAGCACACACGCAGGCATACACACATAGGGATATGTTAGCCAGGTGGCAGAGGACTAGTCGTAAGCCCCTGGTATTGATTAATGTAGATGTATATGCTAATTGTATTGATTTTATAAATTGTATATCTATGTACTGTAAGGCACTTTAGAGAAGCTTAGGATAGCAAGATAGGGCGCTATATCAAATCTTGTAAATTGTTATTGTTATTATTATTAACATCTGCAATGTGAAGTCTTTCGCATAATCGCATAAATATTTTCAATTCACCAATTGTCATGTGGTGCAAGAAATGCTAAACTGGTTTCGTTTTCTGTATCGGCTCTCCAAGTTTTCTAAGAATGAACATCTTTTTAAAGTGTTTTTTTTTTTTTTTTTTACGTACAAAAATGGTTGAATCTATCAGTCCCCGTGATTAGCTGTGCACGTAACATTGCTAATTAAACTTACCCCGGTACGGTTTATCAGATACATTAGTTTACGAATAGAATAACTGTGATAGCGAAAATTAGGCCCTATTTCAATATAACTGTATTTCTACATATGTGTCAGAATATGTTTTACTTTTGTTTTATTACTTTTGTCCTTCATTTGTCAGTCAAGTGTGTACTCTGCTTGTATACGTTTTAATTGAGTATTTCTTGCTTCTTGATTCTATTAACTATTTTTCATTTCCTTGTTAAATATACTTAGCGACACTATAGACATGGAATTTCGATATTTTGATTTCATCTTAAGTACCACAATTGAGTTTGAAATGACCATGCAATACAGTAAATGTTTAGTTTGTTTAAGTTGCGTTTTTCGTAATACTGTCTTAGTCTACAATAACCACAACACTCAAACCTTGCTAAACAGAAAATCTAACTTGCCATCTTTTCTACACCATGAAAACTCCGTGCACAAATTCGTTACTGAAAAAAATGGATTTGACGCTCTGATCAATAATTCAACAATTAATAAAGAGTGGCTGACATGTTAAAATTATATTAAATCAATTTCTTAATAACATTAGGAGCGCAAGATTAAAGAGTAGTAGCGAAGGAAAACAACGACTCTAGCGGGGCGTATTCAGCACGGAAACATGATGTCGAACAATGTTATGCAATGCTACCCTAAGGACGAGACTTTAAGGAAAAAAAGCATATTCCTGAAACAAAACAAACCATTGTGATGGGAAATGATTAACAAAATGTGGCTTCCTCCCTTCAAAACTTTCATTTGGTGCAAAATGTCTTAATGATAAAGTATTATTGTTGAATACCATTCAGAAAATATCCCAGTTCATTAGCCTTAAACGAGTCCGACAGACAGAGAGGGAATACAAGCCTTAAATGACCTCTGATTTAAAATCAGGCCAACAAGGCGACGACTCAACGCTCATTTAGTGATGACAAGCATCATCGTCGATTCCTGTGAAGAAGATTAATTTCACAGTTAGGTGGTTTCATATTAACAGCATTTCGCCTTAATGGCATTTCGTACGCCATTTCACGCTCAGATTTTTTAAAATTTTGAATACATAATCACTGAAAGAACGATTTGCGTTGATAGCTTTTTCGAGGCCGTTTAAGCTAATCAAGATAAGAATAAATGGTATTTTTAGGCAAATTACATAAAAAAATAAGACAAAAGACAAATAGAACAATAACAGCTGCTAACAAAAACTTGAAATATTTGTGAAGAAAAATAAAACATTTCTAACGCCTAATGTGATATTTGTTTCAGAGAATGGCTTTATTAACAGAAAATGATGGCAGTAATCAATCAAGCAATGTGTTTTTCAAACGTAATTTGGCACATGACAATGTCGCTCATTAATAACACATCGATGTGTGTTTCAGAAAACATTGATCGTAAAACACTACGTGACATCCCCTTGTTTTCCATAAACTGGGACATGTTTTCATCTATGATCATCGAGAATGTAGTAATTGAGCTTACACATCTTCCGTTGGTACTGGCAAATATTAATTATTAATGTAAAAATCCAGTAAATTAGGGCAAGATTCATAATGTTCAAAATGGGGTTATCAGGGTTTTGTGTCACGCTAACCTGCTATTGATACGCAACTATAAAATTGTGTGTCACTATCGAAATGACACATCTGAACTATTTCATGTTATTTTACCGATAGACACGTCGGGAAGGGAGAGTTCCATTTCCGGTTGCTGGGAGCTTATACATATTTCTTCTTAATTTAATGAACACATGTAGCATACTTTTCGTTGTAAATGATGGTTGTCCAGTGATTTCGAATAATATACTGCATTTGTTTTAATAATACTCAGGAAGCAACTTTAAATATACTCCTTGGCAATATGTTTTAATATTGCTAAGCTAATAATGGTAACGATTACAATAGGTCTAAGATGCTCAAGTTCAGTCATGATGAGAGTAAGTAGCCGCCATTAAGTGTCAGATATGGTCAATGCGTATTGAAAAAATCTTAACATTTGAAGACGCCAATGCTTAATTATCTCATCATCATTTTCTTGTTATTTTCCATGTTGCTATCGATACGTAATGGAGACATCTACGGTGTTAAAATGATAAAGGTGTTGAGATATTGCGACACCACAAAAAGGTCTTGATGAAAGATTTGGAAAGAAACGTATTTCACTCGACATTAATTATCAAAATATTTAAGAAAGATTAACATTAAGTATAAAATTATGAAACATTGGTATAATTACGTAAACTTAAACTTTAAAGAATATGATTTTTATGAAACAAAAACGAATTTTCGTTCTATAAATATATTTTTTTGTCGCATTACAGGTGACCGTATCTCAGACAACTGTTACAGTTTGTAGACAAAAAAAGGAGTATACAAAGTCTTCCTAGAATATACATAAAATATAACTATGCATTGATTGACATTTGTGTTGGTAAATATTAACGTTGAAAGAACACGAAAAAAGTGATATTAACCGAGAGAAATGATTTCTTAAATACTATTGTGTCAATGCAAATTACCATTTTTACCCAGTCAAACAGCCTTGCTAAGTGTAATAGTTGTGATGAAGCATTGGACATGTTTTATGCTGAACGATATTAAAACGATATAATATTTCATTAGTCACAAATAAAATAGCAACACAACAGACAAAACTTAGACAACAACTGCGGAACGCACCTCTGGGGTTAAATCCATGGATGTAGTCCGGACAATCAACATTTAACGTACTGTTGGCGCGTGCGTACGGCCAGCATATCCCTCCACCAAATGTTCTATTACAGTAAACATCTGAAAAGAGAATAATTACATAAAGCAATATCAAGCACGACATTACAAGATAAAAATATTGCGGTGGTTCCTTTCTTTACATGGAATAACAATTGATTGGGGGGGGGGTTCCTTTCTTTACATGAGATAATAATTGATTGGGGGGAAGGGGGTCCTTTCTTTACATGAGATAACAATTGATCGG